GCAGTTGTTGACTGGCTAGTAGTTGCTTCGTTTAGCTGAATGCATAGGACGATAGGGAGCGCGTCTTGGCCTGTCAACATTACGATCAGTACCAGAATCATTTTTAGTCCTGTAGTGTGCATCACGCTGAGGGCAGATAGGAAATAGCTGCACCTTGGAGCGTCGGATTGGATGTCTGTGCCTGCTTGAGGTGCATTGCACGGGGTGGTTGCTGTTGTGATGTTTGCGTTGTAGTTCGATAGCAAACATGCAGCAGGAGCGCCAGACAGGTGTGGATGCGGATGAAGACGTTTGTCTGTTGGGATGAGTGGAATAACAGCATGAATGAGTCGAGGTCTTGCTAAATGAGGATTCGCCTTCACAGTTGCGCGTAGAGGAGTGCTGTTGCTGTTGCACACTGGTGACGTCGTTTCAGTGTGAATCGGCTGCTTTGTTTCGAACGCAGAGAGTGCGCAAACTGGGCTCTTCGTGTGCGTGGATTTTCGCGCTTTGTCTAGGGATCGTCGGCTTCTGAGAAGCGTAACATTGTTAGGCCAGCTGTGGCGCAGCGCTTCGCGTGTTGACCAGCATGTTTAGTTGCAGCTGGCGGTGCATGGCCGTCTGCAGATACGCATGCACGAATTGTGTTGAAGACTGTCAAGAACAGAAGAAAAGGATAGGTGGGTACGTGTATCCGTGAGGTGTCGTGCGGGTCTGTTGGGCAGGACGTTTTGTGGTGACGCGGGTCGGAGCTAATGTGCGCAGGTTTCGGCAAGATGCGTATGGTTGGTGGATAGAGACGTTAGTGTTCTTGGAAAGCCAGCAGGAGCATCGCGTGCATGGGCGTTGGTTGCCCGATCAGGTGGCAGTTGTTGACTGGCTAGTAGTTGCTTCGTTTAGCTGGATGCATAGGGCGATAGGGAGCGCGTCTTGGCCTGTCAACATTACGAGCAGTACCAGAATCATTTTTAGTCCTGTTGTGCGCATCACGCTGAGGGCAGATAGGAGATAGCTGCACCTTGGAGCGTCGGATTGGATCTCTGTGCCTGCTTGAGGCGCATTGCACGGGGAGGTTGCTGTTGTGATGTTTGCGTTGTAGTTCGATAGCAAACATGCAGCAGGAGTGCCAGACAGGTGTGGATGCGGATGAAGACGTTTGTCTGTTGGGATGAGTGGACTGATTGCATGAATGAGTCGAGGTCTTGCTAAATGAGGATTCGCCTTCACAGTTGCGCGTAGAGGAGTGGCGCTGCTGTTGGACACTGGTGACGTCGTTTCAGTGTGAATCGGTTGCTTTGTTTCGAACGCAGAGAGTGCGCAAACTGGGCTCTTCGTGTGCGTGGATTTTCGCGCATTGTCTAGGGATCGTCGGCTTCTGAGAAGCGTAACATTGTTAGGCCAGCTGTGGCGCAGCGCTTCGCGTGTTGACCAGCATGTTTAGTTGCAGCTAGCGGTGCATGGCCGTCTGCAGATACGCATGCACGAATTGCGTTGAAGACTGCCAAGAACAGAAGAAAAGGATAGGTGGGTGCGTGTATCCGTGAGGTGTCTACTGGTTTGTTGGAGTGTCGTCCAAGAGCGTGTGTGGACGGGGTCGGAGATAATGTGCTCAGGATTCGGCAAGATGCGTATGGTTGGTGGATAGAGACGTTAGTGTTCCTGGAGGGCCAGCAGGGGGATGGCGTGCGCATGGGCGTTGGTTGCCCGATCAGGTGGCAGTTGTTGACTGGCTAGTAGTTGCTTCGTTTAGCTGGATGCATAGGGCGATAGGGAGCGCGTCTTGGCCTGTCAACATTACGAGCAGTACCAGCATCATTTTAGTCCTGTAGTGAGCATCAGGCTGAGGGCATACAGGAGATAGCTGCACCTTGGAGCGTCGGATTGTAAGTCTGTGCCTGCTTGAGGCGCATTGCACGGGGTGGTTGCTGTTGTGATGTTTGCGTTGTAGTTCGATAGCAAACATGCAGCAGGAGCGCCAGACAGGTGTGGATGCGGATGAAGACGTTTGTCTGTTGGTATGAGTGGACTGATTGCATGAATGAGTCGAGGTCTTGCTAAATGAGGATTCGCCTTCACAGTTGCGCGTAGAAGAGTGGCTTTGCTGTTGGACACTGGTGACGTCGTTTCAGTGTGAATCGGTTGCTTTGTTTCGAACGCAGAGAGTGCGCAAACTACGCATGCACGAATTGCGTTGAAGACTGTCAAGAGCACAAGAAAAGGATAGGTGGGTGCGTGTATCCGTGAGGTGTCGTACGGGTCTGTTGGGGTGTCGTGCAGCAGCGTTTGTGGTGACGCGGGTCGGAGCTAATGTGCGCAGGTTTCGGCAAGATGCGTATGGTTGGTGGATAGAGACGTTAGAGGCCTTGGAGGGCCAGCAGGGGGATGGCGTGCGCATGGGCGTTGGTTGCCCGATCAGGTGGCAGTTGTTGACTGGCTAGTAGTTGCTTCGTTTAGCTGAATGCGTAGGGCGGTAGGGAGCGCGTCTTGGCCTGTCAACATTACGAGCAGTACCAGAATCATTTTTAGTCCTGTAGTGCACATCACGCTGAGGGCAGATAGGAGATAGCTGCACCTTGGAGCGTCGGATTGGAAGTCTGTGCCTGCTTGAGGCGCATTGCACGGGGAGGTTGCTGTTGTGACGTTTGCGTTGTAGTTCGATAGCAAACATGCAGCAGGAGTGCCAGACAGGTGTGGATGCGGATGAAGACGTTTGTCTGTTGGGATGAGTGGACTGATTGCATGAATGAGTCGAGGTCTTGCTAAATGAGGATTCGCCTTCACAGTTGCGCGTAGAGGAGTGGCGCTGCTGTTGGACACTGGTGACGTCGTTTCAGTGTGAATCGGTTGCTTTGTTTCGAACGCAGAGAGTGCGCAAACTGGGCTCTTCGTGTGCGTGGATTTTCGCGCATTGTCTAGGGATCGTCGGCTTCTGAGAAGCGTAAGATTGTTAGGCCAGTTGTGGCGCAGCGCTTCGCGTGTTGACCAGCATGTTTAGTTGCAGCTGGCGGTGCATGGCCGTCTGCAGATACGCATGCACGAATTGCGTTGAAGACTGCCAAGAACAGAAGAAAAGGATAGGTGGGTGCGTGTATCCGTGAGGTGTCTACTGGTTTGTTGGGGTGTCGTCCAAGAGCGTGTGTGGACGGGGTCGGAGATAATGTGCTCTGGATTCGGCAAGATGCGTATGGTTGGTGGATAGAGACGTTAGTGTTCTTGGAGGGCCAGCAGGGGGATGGCGTGCGCATGGGCGTTGGTTGCCCGATCAGGTGGCAGTTGTTGACTGGCTAGTAGTTGCTTCGTTTAGCTGGATGCATAGGGCGGTAGGGAGCGCGCCTTGGCCTGTCAACATTACGAGCAGTACCAGCATCATTTTAGTCCTGTAGTGAGCATCAGGCTGAGGGCATACAGGAGATAGCTGCACCTTGGAGCGTCGGATTGTAAGTCTGTGCCTGCTTGACGCTCATTGGACGGGGTGGTTGCTGTAATGATGTTTGCGTTGTAGTTCGATAGCAAACATACAGCAGGAGCGCCAGACAGGTGTGGATGCGGATGGAGACGTTTGTCTGTTGGGATGAGTGGACTGATTGCATGAATGAGTCGAGGTCTTGCTAAATGAGGATTCGCCTTCACAGTTGCGCGTAGAGGAGTGGCGTTGCTGTGGACACTGGTGACGTCGTTTCAGTGTGAATCGGTTGCTTTGTTTCGAACGCAGAGAGTGCGCAAACTGGGCTCTTCGTGTGCGTGGATTTTCGCGCATTGTCTAGGGATCGTCGGCTTCTGAGAAGCGTAAGATTGTTAGGCCAGCTGTGGCGCAGCGCTTCGCGTGTTGACCAGCATGTTTAGTTGCAGCTGGCGGTGCATGGCCGTCTGCAGATACGCATGCACGAATTGCGTTGAAGACTGCCAAGAGCACAAGAAAAGAATAGGTGGGTGCGTGTATCCGTGAGGTGTCGTGCGGGTCTGTTGGGGTGTCGTGCAGGAGAGCTTCTGGTGGCGGGATCGGAGATGATGTGCTCAGGATTCGGCAAGATGCGTATGGTTGGTGGATAGAGACGTTAGTGTTCTTGGAGGGCCAGCAGGGGGATGGCGTGCGCATGGGCGTTGGTTGCCCGATAAGGTGGCAGTTGTTGACTGGCTAGTAGTTGCTTCGTTTAGCTGGATGCATAGGGCGGTAGGGAGCGCGCCTTGGCCTGTCAACATTACGAGCAGTACCGGAATCATTTTTAGTCCTGTAGTGCACATCACGCTGAGGGCAGATAGGAGATAGCTGCACCTTGGAGCGTCGGATTGTAAGTCTGTGCCTGCTTGAGGCTCATTGCACGGGGTGGTTGCTGTTGTGATGTTTGCGTTGTAGTTCGATAGCAAACATGCAGCAGGAGCGCCAGACAGGTGTGGATGCGGATGAAGACGTTTGTCTGTTGGGATGAGTGGACTGATTGCATGAATGAGTCGATGTCCTGCTAAATGAGGATTCGCCTTCACAGTTGCGCGTAGAAGAGTGGCTTTGCTGTTGGACACTGGTAACGTCGTTTCAGTGTGAATCGGTTGCTTTGTTTCGAACGCAGAGAGTGCGCAAACTACGCATGCACGAATTGCGTTGAAGACTGTCAAGAGCACAAGAAAAGGATAGGTGGGTGCGTGTATCCGTGAGGTGTCGTACGGGTCTGTTGGGGTGTCGTGCAGCAGCGTTTGTGGTGACGCGGGTCGGAGATAATGTGCGCAGGTTTCGGCAAGATGCGTATGGTTGGTGGATAGAGACGTTAGTGGTCTTGGAGGGCCAGCAGGGGGATGGCGTGCGCATGGGCGTTGGTTGCCCGATCAGGTGGCAGTTGTTGACTGGCTAGTAGTTGCTTCGTTTAGCTGAATGCGTAGCGCGATAGGGAGCGCGCCTTGGCCTGTCAACATTACGAGCAGTACCATCATCATTTTTAGTCCTGTAGTGCACATCACGCTGAGGGCAGATAGGAGATAGGTGCGCCTTGGAGCGTCGGATTGGATGTTTGTGCGTGCTTGTGGCGCATTACATGAAGTCGCTGGCGCTGTGGTTTTTGCATTGTTTCGTTTGCAAGCATGCACCAGGAACGTCAGGCAGGTGTGGCCGCGTAGTGAAACATTTGTCGAGATGTTTGTCCGTTGGGATATGTCGAATGATTGCGTGGTGAAGTAGGGATCTTGCTAAGCAAAGGACGGGTGGTGATTATAGTTACGTGTAAACGAGCGGCGCTGTTGTTGGACACTGATGAACTCAT